GATTCCATAATTTCTTCAAAATCAAAGAAACGATTAAATTTACTATTAGTAGATCTTCAACTCAACAACATCATGTGAAATCCAGTGGTTATTATACCTATTTGCTGATTTTAACATCTCACACATCTGCAGGTATTCTATTTTTAGATAGTAGGTCAATTATGGTCATTGCATGCGACCTTGTTTTCCATAACGCATAAAGCACATCCAAATTGATTGTCACCTAATTCGAAAAAAGATAGTTCAAAAAATCATTGAACTCGTGTGCCTTTCCACTAAAGATCAAGTTTCAGACATATTTACAAAACATTGCCAGGACCTGCCTTCAACTACTTACTTTCCAAGCTTCACATGCAAAACATACAAAACAATCTTTTATTAGCATGTTTAGCTTGCAGGAGTATTAGCATATAAGATTTACTTTAATTGTATCTATACTACTCTAAAAGGACGAGTGTTTTTGTAAAAATATGAACGGACTAAAAAGCCCTTATATTTGATATATTTATAGTGACAAAATTGTAATCATATAGTATAGTATTTTAAGATTAAAGAAATCTAAAATATATTTATCAATTAAGTGTTGGTATATCTCCAATCTTCACCCCGTACAAATCGTTTCATACTCTTTGTTCTAAATTAAATTCATTGAATTTTGTTTGTACCGAAAACAAGTTTCATTGAATTTTGTCTATTTATTGTCTTCATCATGAGCATTCGCCAGCATACAATTTGTAGTGTGATTCAACTTAGTGGATCTCATTTGTTGTGATGATAGAAAATTTGGACTATAATGGTAATGAGTTTTGAAAAAAATTATTTATCGTTTCATTTATTTATTGTTTATTTTTATTTTCATTACACAAACATAAGAAGATCGTTATATTCTTGTTGTAATTTTCGTTGGAATTTTCTCATTTTCTTGTAGTAAAAGTAGGACTCCAAATCTATAAAAAAATTGCATTATTATATAATATTGTGTGCAACTATTATTATGAAAATTTTGATATGATAGAAAATATAACACATTCAATGTAATTGTCATTTAATTTATGATAATAAGTAATTTTTGTTTCAAAACAAACAAGATACTTTGAAAGGTCCTTAATTATTTTATTAGTATTATAATAACTAACTAGGCCAGAGAAGGAGAATGAGATAACATTAACTATGTGAATTAAAAAGACAAATAAATGAGTTGCACGTTAAACTATTATTCAATTACTGCGTGAAAAAGAACCCTATAATGGTGGTACCATATATGTATTCAGTGATTATGAAAATGACTTAGTTACCTAATATTTTATCAGACATTGGAAAAATTGTAAACTTTTTAATCTAATAATTCGTATAAAAAGTACAATTTTATCAAATATATTAAATTTACATTATATCTTATGTGATTATAGTAGTTGCAGCCTAATAAAAAAGATAATTTGAAAACATCATTATATAAAACACATACAAAAAATAACGCAATACATATAAATGTGCTTTAATTATTTAGCAAATAAAATATTATTTGTCTATAGCATAAGAAACAAATAATATAATAGTAACACAATGAGAAAAAGAATACGTGTGAATTTTCTTAGAGAAGTATGAATACCAATATTTACGAACAAAAAGTCTTTGAAAACTACTACTTTTTTATTGCTAGCATTTAAATACAGGGACTCTGTAAGAAATTGGTTTTCATAAATAATGATCCTATATTATTTATTTTTAATTTTAAATAATTAAAAAATCCAAAAATTTGTAATACATAATGTATATTTTAATCATGACTCCATAATAATAAACTTTGCAGATGACTAAGAGTATCATAATATATAGAATTCTAACTCTTCTCTTATCAAATATTTTAACAAATGATATGCTTCTCAATATTTTCTCATTGTTTTGATTGTTTTGTTTTGTCATTGTTGGAGACTAAAGAACCAATCTTTATCTTGAATTTTATAATCATTTTGTATGATGAATAATGTTGGACAATAAAAGCATTAAAGAAGTTATTAGGCACACAAATATTGCATATTTAAACGAATGTGAAAGATATTATGATAAACAATTCTAAAATCATTGCAACAACAATGATGGTCAATAATTTTCAAATAATAAATTATATTGTTCGTCTATATTCCAAATAAACAACAATGTCGGAGTATCAAAACAATTTTGAATGTTCGAATGAAGTTGTCACTATTTATAGAAATATTTATAATCTCATCGGTATATTGTACTCGAACATATGTGCAATTATTTTAGAGGTACTTTCAAGTAATGTATGATTATTTCAAAAAATAATTTAGTACCTCGGGAGAAGTACATGTAACCAAAATTTTGGAAACATGTAACCAGAATTTTGGAAAGTCAACTTTTATTTGGAAATAAAATTCATTCCCACCTCGTGGGGCAATGCATCAATGGGGTAGGCACCAATATGTCTAGAGACAGAGGAATGTATTAGCTTATACACTGATAAAAAATACCAGCAATTTCAATGGCATAGTTAGTTATTTTATAGAGATATTTATGCATTGTTAGTAGAAGTACCTTATTATAAAGATTATACGATCATGAAGTTTGATTATATGTTGGGTCAGAATGTTTCTTAAGTATTTAAATAAAATTAACGTTTTGCCAAATGGATTAAGAGAAATTTTGCAATAGTATTCAATTACTGCTTGAAAAAAAACCCTATAATGGTGGTACCATATATGTATTTAGTGATTATGAAAATGACTTAGTTACGTAATATTTTATCAGACATTCGAAAAAATTGTAAACTTTTTAATCTAATAATTCGTATAAAAAGTACACTTTTATCAAATATATTAAATTTACATTATATCTTATGTGATTATAGTAGTTGCAGCCTAATAAAAAAGATAATTTGAAAACATCATTATATAAAACACATACAAAAGATAACGCAATACATATAAATGTGCTTTAATTATTTAGCAAATAAAATATTATTTGTCTATAGAATAAGAAACAAATAATATAATAGTAACACAATGAGAAAAAGAATACTTGTGAATTTTCTTAGAGAAGTATGAATATCAATATTTACGAACAAAAAGTCTTTGAAAACCACTACTTTTTTATTGCTAGCGTTTAAATATAGGGACTCTGTAAGAAATTGGTTTTCATAAATAATGATCCTATATTATTTATTTTTAATTTTAAATAATTAAAAAATCTAAAAATTTGTAATACATAATGTATATTTTAATCATGACTCCATAATAATAAACTTTGCAGATGACTAAGAGTATCATAATATAATAGAATTCTAACTCTTCTCTTATCAAATATTTTAACAAATGATATGCTTCTCAATATTTTCTCATTGTTTTGATTGTTTTGTTTTGTCATTGTTGGAGAATAAAGAACTGATCTTTATCTTGAATTTTATAATCATTTTGTATGATGAATAATGTTGGACAATAAAAGCATTAAAGAAGTTATTAGGCACACAAATATTGCATATTTAAACGAATGTGAAAGATATTATGATAAAAAATTCTAAAATCATTGCAACAACCATGATGGTCAATAATTTTCAAATAATAGATTATATTGTTCGTCTATATTCCAAATAAACAACAATGTCGGAGTATCAAAACAATTTTGAATGTTCGAACGAAGTTGTCACTTTTTATAGAAATATTTTTATAATCTCATTGGTATATTGTACTCAAACATATGTGCAATTACTTTAGAGGTACTTTCAAGTAATGTATGATGATTTCAAAAAATAATTTAGTACCTCGGGAGAAGTACATGTAACCAAAATTTTGGAAACATGTAACCAAAATTTTTGAAAGTCAACTTTTATTTGGAGATAAAATTCATTCCCACCTCGTGGGGCGATGCATTAATGGGGTAGGCACCAATATGTCTAGAGACAGAGGAATGTAGTAGTTTATACAATGATAAAAAAATACCAGCAATTTTAATGTCATAGTTAGTTATTTTATAGAGATATTTATGCATTGTTAGTAGAAGTACCTTATTATAAAGATTATACGATCATGAAGTTTGACTATATGTTGGGTCAGAAATTTTGCAATAGTATTGACGTATTAGACTTCAGCGAGTATGAATGTTTCTTATAAGAAAGATGAAAGAAAATTTTAGTGGTTTTTGTATTAAGGATTTGTTTTTTATATATTTTAGTTGGAGGTTGTAAAACATTATTTCACTCTTTTTATATTAGGGCATCATTACGCTAATTCTAAATAAAAAAAAATTACATATAAATTCATTTGTTCTATATTTTATTTGATTCCTGCAATGATATGTTTAATAAATAAATTAATTTATTTTATAAACTTACTCGGCAAAAATCATTCGATACCACGTGCATCGCACGTGCACTTTACTAGTAATGTTAAAAAGTGTTACTGTATTTTGTATTAGTCCATAGGATAAGTTGTTAATAGAATAACAACTTAGTTATTTATTTGTAGTATAAATAGAATATCTTTTATTATAACAAACCCTAATTATTATTCTCCTCAATGCACGCATCTCTTTTCATTCTCTTCCTCTCTCTCTCTGTAAATTTTCTCCACCGTCTTCAACAATCTGATAGAAGTTAAATACTACACAATAAGCTCATTTTGTTATACAAAACACAAGACAAGCAAATTAGAATTTGCTTAAACATACATACAATATTTATGGATATCTCCCAAGACAATAAATTATTGGAAAATACTAAAATATGATAACGGAACCATCACTTTGAATAAAACTTCAATAAAATATTATCACCTCCATATCAAACAAATCATCTCCCACGGGACTGTAGTCGACCCCTAAATTATTGTACAAATAAACTTAATATTGGGGCTACACTTCTCGCATATCCAGGGACAGATCCTTAAAAGGGATCAGTGTGGGCCTAGGCCCACACTGAATTTTTCAAGAAATTTTTTAAAGAGTACCTAGAAAGAAAAACTTACACTTGAGGGAAGGTATAATAATGAATAATATACATGTTTCCTATCTCTAAGGTATAAAATGGCCTAATGTTTTCCTCTCCATCATTAATTAATTTTTATTTTTTAGAATCAATATTATTTATCTTATTAATTTTAGTTAGATTAGAACTTGATATATACATGATTATAGCTTAATGTAACTTATAGTAAAAAGAAACCAAGTACAAATATTTCTTATTTGTATTATTTCATTCTCGAACATTGTTAATTTGATTCTAAAATTTTTAGTCGAATTAATAATGTGTATAAATATATGTAATTCCACATAATAAATCACTTTAAATATATTTATGACTTTAATAGTTAATTTACTTTTTTAGAAATTAAACAAAATAAAAGGAGAACATCGATGGGATATTTCTTTTATTTATTTTCATTCTATCAAGATTTATCTTGTTGAACTTATGAAAATAACTACAAAATCAATAAAAAAGTATTTTCCTTTCATAAAAAATACTAATTCACTAACATTTACAATCTTAAATTATATCACCTTTTCGTTTCTATTTTTGGATAAGATAAGATTTTTGAATATTTATTTACAATTGCTATTTATTTTATAATTGAGATGGTTAATTCCAAAAATATTTTAGGCCCCACTCATGTGAATTTCTAGATCCGCCCCTTCATATCGACTTTATAGAANGATCACTTTTCACAACCGACGGCCACGTTGACGACCTGGAGTAAAAAAGAGCCACATTGATGTGCAAGTAACTATGGCGAAAGCTCTACCCAGAAAAACCAAAGCCCCCAAACACACCAAAAACAAAGTCATCTCAAGAGTATAATTATTGTGAACACATTTAGCTGCAAGGTCACTTTTCATCGATTTTTGCCTCCTCGTTGAGATTGCATTATGTCCAAGATGAAACGAACTAGATTTCTTAACAACATGATGTCCCAATATCAAATTGTCAGAGAATGATGAAGAAGAAGAAGAAGAAGAAGAAGAAGAAGAAGAAGAAGAAGAAGAAGAAGAAGAAGAAGAAGATAATGATGATGTGACACTAAGTGGGCTTGAGTCTGATGAGAGCAAGGACGAACTATTTGAATTGGTCCATAGATCAATATCTTCATCAGGTTTCCAACACGCCCTGTATGTGAAGAAGTTCATATACCTAACAAATTTCTTGCTTTTGGATGATGAGCCGCTACTCAATCGATCGAAATCTTTGTTAGTATGTTGATCACCTCTGAATTTCTTCAACTGATAACCATTAAAATGATTATTGTTTTGACTATCAATAATATATATAGTGTGTACATGCATGATAATAACATTTTCATGAATATCTTAGTTTCAAGACTGTGATATTTTTTATTTGTAGAACTACGCAGACTGTATATATAAAAATAAAATAAAAAAATAAAGAATCAAGAAGCTTATGTTTATTATATATTAGGAAGCATTTGAGATAGAAATAAAATTCGATAAGAAGCAACATATGTCAATGAGCACAATATGTAAATATGTTCATGCCTGGCCTTATTTGAAGGGAAAAAGAAAAAATAGAGTTAAGCCCTTAAATGAAGGAAGTCAGACAAACAATCTTGAAGCCTAAAAAGTGGCAATAACTTTTTATATTAATGCCTAAAATCAAAGATTAATTAACCTTTGAATATAATGATCAAGCCCAGATCAACTGGTTTGAAATTTAATTGTTCGTTCTAGTTAATTATCATAAACAAATACAAGAAAAAAAATTATTTAATTACTCTCACATAAATCAGAGATGCATGGAACAATTATTTAAATCTGAAAAAGTATTTTAGATTACCAAGAATGTTTTGAAGCTCTTGCGGGTCCTTGTCTTCCTTCTCCTTGAAGATGTTGGTGAATCCGCCAGGTCACCACCATTGTGTTCATCATCATAATCAAATGTGGGCTTGAAACACATAAGAATTCTCCCCCTCCCACCACTTTTAATGGGATCCATGGGAGAAAAGAGAAAAGAGAGGGAGGGAGAGAAATAGAGAACAGAAAAGGATGAGGAATTCATATTTACTTTATTTCTCAATAATTCTCATTTGTTCCACCAATGTTCAACTCTTATAATAAAATGATTATGGTAAATATTAATTGTTACTTACGTTAACTATATTTTTATTATTAAAAATTTAGATAGAGGGAAGGAGAGAGCAGGGGGGAGGTAAATTTATGATAACTGCCATTAGTTAATTTTGGGAAAAACATGGAAGTGTTTTTTTACTTTTTATTTTTTAATAATTCGCAGTGAGTATGTGTGTGACGTTTTAGGATACAATGAGAGGAGGAAGAAGTTTTTTTGTCAATTTCGTGAATATATGTTATTTACCATGGTCGGAACGCCAAAATTTAGTGTCTAATTTTGTTAATGTAATATAAACAAATAATACAGATATTATTTAATATTATTTTTATATCCATATTAAATTTTCTAGTTTTTTTAATGTAATACAAATAAATAAGATAAATATTATTTAATAATATTTTTATCTATGTGTTTTACTAAAATAAAAGAAAAGATTTTTTTTTTCTAGTTTCCATGGGTGGAGATGTTTGATTATTGAAAAAAAATTTAAATTTTGGTCTTATAATTTGGTCACTGTCAAAAAATACACTTCGATATTGACCACTTTCAAACTGGGTCCAATAATTTGACAATTTAATCAATTTTGGTCCTTTTTTATCCGGACCCTGGATAAAAACGCGACGTGGCATGATTCTGACTTATGTGGCGTGATTAGGAAACTTTGACTTCAAAAGTCAATGATCCACTTCATTTAGGACTTAGGTGCAATTAATAAAAAAATATTAAAATTACAAGATAGTCCATATAACTTATTAAAATTTTCAAGATGAGCCCTCATAATTCTAACTTATTTTTACGCCCCGTCACCCTCCCCCGTGCCGCCGCCACCTGCCTCCGGCCAAACTCGCCATGTAGCTCTTCTCCGGGCCAACAACATATCGAAATTTCAAACAAAAATTCCGAAGGTAAAGCTTTCAATTTTCCGGTCAAAGTTTGTAGATCTACAAATATTTTCTGACCTATTGCAAATTCCCGGTGACTCGCTTTAACCCACGTGAATTTGAAGGTACCTCCAAACTCCTCTCGCAGAGCCGCATTTAGTGACGTCCACCGTTGCCGGAACCGATGAATTTTTTCCGGCAACGAATTTTCCGGTCATCTTCCATGCGAGCCACCATTTTAGTCCGGCGATCTCGAGCTCCACAGCGCGGCCCGACCACGACCTCTGGCCAGCGCGACGCGACCTGACATCCGGCGAGCGCGAGCTTTACTCCGCAACCGACCTCCGGCTAGCCTTGCTCCCTCACAGTGGAAGTTCGCTTGTTTTTTTACTCCGCGACAACTTGCAGTTTTTATTTTTTTTTTTTCCACTTAATTTTAATTTTTTGTTATTTAGTTTTAATTTTTGATTTCCACCTAATGTCCACCTAATTATTTAATACAAATAAAGCTGCCACTTCATGCCATGTCAGATAAAAAATTGTCACGTCATGCCACGTCACGTTTTTATCCAGGGTCCAGATAAAAAAAGGACCAAAATTGATTAATGATTGGTCGAAAAATATGTGTATTTTATATATTTATTAGCGTATTTTTATATGCTTAATTTTATCTCACTTATATATTTTTCAACTTATTTATTTATCGGATGGATTCTAGTGCTTTGATATATTTATGATTTATTTTCAGCATACTGGAGTATTTTTGTGGATGTTGAAATATTGGATCGGAGTTCTCGTGAGCAGTTATAGGGCTTTCCAATACTGACCCAGATAAAGCCCAAACTCCAGCACATTAAAAGAAAAGAAATATAAAAAAAAGAAAAAAAAAGAAAGAGAAAGGATATTTGGGCCTAAAGCTTGTCTGATTCACGTGGAGTACATTGGACGAATCAAGAATTGATTTTGGCTAAAAAGTCCAATTTGTTTAGGATTTGTTTAGTGGAAACTGGATTGCTTGGGAACGAATTAATTTGGCGAGGCGATTGATTTTCCAAGAGAGCAGAGGCTTATTTACGGAGCAGAGAACCATACATTGAAGAGCCGCTACACATACACACAGAAAGAGAGAAAAGACATCACGCAAAGAAAAGGAAGCAGAACGCAGAAAAGAGAGCCGTCGAGCGAGGAACCCGATCAACACGCAGAGGGAAGCCGCACCTGCACACGAAAGGGGATATACTTATTCTCTTTCTTTTATTACTAGTACCTGCAAATAATATTTTGATTGTATTATAAATTAAATAAATAAATAACAATAATCATAATTTACGCATTATTTATAAATTAAACCGGGTTGGACACAGTCCGACCGGATGGACCGAGAACCGGTTTATAACTGATTTAGTGCGCTTGAATAAAATATTTGCTATCGAATCCGCCAACACCAGTATGTTGGACTGGTAAGATCGATACGATTTTCTAAACAAATTTTGTTACATGAAAAATTATTTTAAATAAAATTACATATTTAAATAAAATAAAGATTTATAAATTGTTTATCAATTAGTTTAAACATTTGAATTTATAAATTGTTTAGATATTTAAGTAACACTTTTTATTTAAATTTATTACAAAAAGTATTATGTATTAAAATCCGAACAACCACAAGACGGCCCAATTCTGAAAACCTTATATTTACCGTACATTAATAAAAATGATAATCAAATAAATATTTTGTTCACATAAATAATCATAAAATGATATATAAATATTCATAAATCATTAATCATGTTGTCATAAAAGTATTGTTAATATGATTATTTGAAGTTTGGACTACATCACATTCATGTAATAAAGTATTTTCAATATTAAAATTTATATTTAGGTTCAATAATCAATTTGGTCTGGTCAAACTGATACATAACTTAGTTACCTCGGACCAACCAAGTTGTGTCAAGTTTTTTGACTATTTTAAATATCACCTAAAAGTAATTCAATCAAAGTGGGCAGTACCTTAATTCAATCAC